ATTCATACTTAGTCCTAAACCCAAGGTTCAACAGATGCCTTGTTCAACAGATGGAGTAAAGGAGAAAATGTGTAAATTCTATGGCTGCCACCGAGTCTGAGTGGCTGCAAGGTGTCCATTCCTGTACCTAGTGTAGCAGATACAGAGACACATTCTTGGCACCACCCTGAGTGCCTCACAGTCTAATGGGCTAGATGTATAAACAGATAGTGTTAAAAAAAGAAAAAAGGGTGTATTGAGCTCTGTGCAGTTACATGAGCAGGAGGCGTTTTGGCCTGAGGCAACCTGTCTGCTTTGGATTTCTACATAATAACCTGCAACCTAACTTAGTTCATAAATGAGATGAAACCTAAGTTAGAAGTATTCTTAAAAACAAAACAAAACAAAAAACCTGTTTTAGCGAATTATATACAACTAATGGGCCAGGTCATTTAAAAAGAAGGAAAATGTCTCATTACTCCATGGTCGGATAAAGCAAAGCCCAACTGTGGTCAATCAGGTGATTTCTCTAATCTGTATTTGCTCCTTCAAATCCCCAAGCTTATTGAATTAGCTATTTCTCTCATTGCTATGAAAAAGACACCTTACAATGTGAAGAAGGAAGATTTGCAGTTTGCGTGGGCTCATGTTTAAAGAAGGAATAGAGCCCATCATGGTGGGGAAAGAATGACGGCAGAAGCATGACCCCAGTAGCATCCCACCCGTTCTCAGGGAGCAGAGTGTGCACAGGAAATGAAGCGAGGCTGTAAAACCTTTGGGCCCGTCCCCAGTAGCCCACTTCCTCCAGTGAGGCTCCACCTCCTAATGGGTCCACAACCTTCCAAACAGTGCCACCAGCTGGGGACCAACCGTTCAAACATATGAGCCTATGGGAAACATTCCACATTCAAACCACAGCATTCATGCTGCTAGGTAGAAGTCTCTAGAACTCTTATGGTTCTGAGCACTGTTCGACTCTTAAATCGTTTTTTGCTGAAAGGCTGTTCAATTTGTCTGACATGTTTATTTTAACAGCCCCCAAAATGTAGATAATTTGAGAATTAAGGGAGGAAATGACTCCTAAAAGGGGTTTTGTAGAGAGAGCAAGAGTTATTTGAATGGGGGAGGGGAGCGATAACTTATCAAGAGTATGTTGCGAGCAGTGATACTAGATATGTAAGAAAAGACGGAAGTGCCATTTGACTAGTGAGATCAGTCTGAGATAGAGGAGTAAGCGGGAGAGATGAAGGAGTGAAGGAGGAAAGGAGGAGGGCAGGGGCTGTTTGGAAACCCAATCCAAGATTCCAAGATGGCCCTAGGGAAGTCAGAAGACTATTAGATGGTTAAGTACATGGGCACACATTTAAGGAAATGCAGTACAAATAAGAAGCCAAATCTTTAATGAAAATCTCAGACACTTAAAGAGGTTGAGGTATAATGCCTGGCAGCTTCCTAATCCTCCTTGCTACTTATTTCTTAATCTTCAGAATCCTCAGGAGTCCCAAGATCCGCTCAGTCTCTTCTAGAAAAACCTCCATGCTATCTACAAAGTTCTCTTTCCAGCACAATGCTTCTTTAATCTACTTTCTCTTCTCTAGTACGTCACATTCTCCCTGTGAGTGTCTTTCTTTGGTTTGGCTTGGTTTTCTGCACCCACTTTAAATCAATCTTTTCCTCTCCTTCTCCTTCTCCTTCTCCTTCTCCTTCTTCTCCCTCCTCCTCCTCCTCCTCCTCCCCCCACCTCCTCCTCTCCCTCCTCTTCCCCCTCCTCTGCATTAGAGTTCAAACCTCATAGCTTCAGGCGTGCTAGGTGTGATGACTAATCCTGGGTGTCAACTTGATTGGATCTGGGATTAACTAAAATGAGAGCGATCTTCTTGGTTGGATCATCTGAAGCTGGAAGACACACCCTAAATGTGGGTGTTACCTTCTGATAGCAGCCTGTATAAAAGGCCATGGTAGAGGAGAGTGCTTGCTTTTTGCCGCTTGCCTTCTGTCTCGCTGGTGAGTTCGTCTTGTTGTTGTAGACTGAAGACTAGCTGATCTTCTAGAATTCATCAGACCTTCAGTGCCAAATTGGGACTACTGAGATAGCCAGTCTTGTGGACTGAGCGACTGCAGATTCTTAGCCTCTCCAGTGTGGTGCAGTCTAAGTAGTTGGACTACTTAGACTCTGTCCTGTGAGCTAATTTGATAAATCCGTCTCTCTCTCTCTCTCTCTCTCTCTCTCTCTCTCTCTCTCTCTCTCTCTCTCTCTGTGTATGTGTGTGTGTATGTATGTGTGTGTATTCATATTATAGGTTCTGTTTCTTTAGAGAACCCTGACTGATGTACTAGGCAAGCACTCTGACTGAGCTATGCCTGCAGCTTTTACTTCAAATTTTTACACATGGATTTTATCCTTTCTCTTCTCAGCCAACAGGACTCAGTGTTGCTAGAATAAATGGGTGACTTTGTGTTGGGAGGGAGACAATAGGAGACTCTGAATTTTCATATGTTAATTATTTGGGACCAGTCACAATAACTAAACTATATAATGGTCAGAAAATGCTAGAGAAGTGGTAATATAATGAAATAGAAGACATGGAAGTGAGATAACTTATAGAAGTAGACTCAGAACCCTACAACTAACTACGTGAGATGGAGGTAGAAAAGATTAGGATTTTAAGAGCACTTTGAAGTTCAAATCTAGAATAATCTAACTGTGCTATTAATTGTCAAGGCTGGGGATGTAACGGAGGGCCATACTCAGTCAGTATACAGGAACAGAAGGTGACATATTTGACTTTGTGCTGAACCTCAGATGGCAGTGTGCTACTCAGGTCATACTTAGGAAACTCAAACTTTACTTTGATTTTAGAGGTTAGCAGTCTCCACAGCCACGAGTTCTAAAACACTATTTATGGTTAAACATTTGGAGATTGGTTAGACATGGGTAAGTTCTACAAGAAATAAATCCATTTCGCTTTGCTTCCAGCCGTCCCCCTCCGCCCTTTCTTTCTCAGAGTACCTATTAGCATCCTACAGAATGTTTCCTCCCGGGATAATGTTTTAAGAAATGCCCATTAAAACACTTAGGAATTGTAATCAGGAGATGATTAAGAAAAAGGAACTTGATGAGGGTGGTTGTTTATTTGCATGGAAGAGTAAGCTGAAGCATTATGAGCTGATGATTCACTATGAGTACAGAGAAAACGAGTTGGAGACAGAACTTTAGCAACTCCATTTAACACCTCAGATAGCATGCAGAGAATATAATTTGGAAACGCAGCCAGTTGTGATAGCAAAATCATGAGTTTCAGAGTGTAAAAAATAATCCAACTTTTTAAAGAATCAGTCTTCTGATCTGAAAAATAATGCTTTGCTTGTTAGGTTGTATTGGAATTTAAGATGGCTAATATAGGAGGATACATATCCACACTTAATAAATGCTGTTACTAATGTTTTTCATATAAAATTTTCTTGATGAACTGAAGCAAAGCCTTGAAGAATATATACTGGTGGATTGAAACCTAGCTATTGGATACTTACTTTAGAAAAATCTAGAAAGTCCACACAAGAAAGCAATACTACTTCAGACAAGCCTGATACAACAGCAGCATGATAGAAAAAGGGAATCTCCGGAATTAGGCGGTGGAGGGAGATAGCACAGGAATTTCCCTAAGGCACCATTGACAACATTTTTTTTTTCATTAGTTGTTTTGTGAAGAGATGTTGGAAGATAATATCGAAACCTTAGGAAGTACATCTGCTTTCCTTCAAGAATTCTGAGATACTACCTTCCTCCCTACACACAGATTAGATAATAATCTGCCACTATGGGCTTTGCTCTGACAACGGTCATTAACTGGCAGGCTAAGGAGAGGCATCTGCAGCAGAGTGCAGAACTAATGGTGCATTCTTCTGATAGAACATGTCACAATCCCACCAGTGCAGGCTCAAGTCATTTTCAGTATTGGTCAAATGCATATATAAGGCCAATAAAGACTTTGGATTTAGAGGTGAAAGACTCTTAAATTGTCATGTCAGATAAGGTTTTCCCTCCGGCAGCACAAAAGTCAAATCTTAAATGGATGGTCACCCAGCTTTTATCTTTCAGTCTTTTCTGCTCGCCTTCTGGGCTGCAGCCTTTTAAGTTACAGATCCATCTGAGGAACTTGGTGTTATTAAGGGTGGTCATTTAACATGACTGGCTAGTGTCCCTAACCAGAGCTCATAGCAGCCCAGATGGAGATAGAAAGAACTAGAAGGGTGGTAAGCAAGACTCTGCAGACCTGCTTGAGGTCTTAGGGTTGTTCTAATAGTAGGTAGAGGCTGGGCATCTGGCTTGTGGGCATTAGTACTCAAAGGTATCTTCCAGTAGGAGCTCATCAGATCTCTCTGCACAGATAAGGCTTGAAGTATAGGTGTCTTTGCCCTAGGAAGTCATGAGGTCTACCTCAGGGGAGTACTTGCAGGAGTAGTGGACAGTCACGCATTCTGATTGACCTATGGTTATTCACCCAAATATCACAAGACTGGGGCACAATGAGTGAACATAAAACATACTGCTCAGAATTGACCCAAAGGTTGGAAACATTGGTATCTGTAGCTTCTGCAATCCCTTGTGAGCTAAGCAACAGAAAGCACTCTCTGCTCAGTCTGTCTTCATAAATTAAGTGATTTCTGCATAAACTAAAGTTTCAGAAGCACTAACCTACACCTGTATTCTATGTGGCAATAATTGCTACTCTGCCCAACCAGATCCCTTTCACTGTCTCACTGACAGTCTGGCATCCGGGCTACCTTCATACTCTTTACCACTGTGATACATAGATTGACCATCTGACATATAAAGTCCATTTTGCCACTTTTATCATCAGTAAGAATGTGAACTTTATGGAGATACTGTAAAAATACTTATTTTTAGCTTGGTGATTTGTTTTGCAGCAGATACACCTCATTTATGACTTCTTACAAATTTTTGTTCATTTTCAGGATGACCATGATATGAATAATGGGATAAGAAAGTAGAAAAACACTATGTAGGCTGCAAGTTGCTCCTGGGTAGCTTTTACTTCAGCTTGCAGCTTCTCAATGTACTGGAAGGGAGGAAAGTTCAGAAAGCAAACAGATAACTCTCCCTCTTGCATGCTCAGAGCATCCCATATATACTTAGTGTGTGCCAGTTGGAGCACTACTATCTTAGCTAGGTGTTTTCAGAATCATCTCTGGAGAGACAACTTCTCCATCCCTGTTACTGTATGACAGACTGAGGGCAAAGCCCATAAATATGCTAACAGCCAGGAAGTTGTTAGGAAAATGTGAGCTTGGACTAATGAGGTTAATGTTAACATATATCATACCATATGTGTGTGTGCGTGGGCGTGTGTGTGTACCTTTACATAGAAACATATCCATATACTCCAAAGCCATATATAAGCTCTTTGCATTGAACAAGAGGCAAATTTATATAATGATGTATATATGGCTTTCTAGAGCTTAATTACTTTATAAATTGAAAATATATGCCAAATTTTGCTACAATTTATGATCCATAGTTTTATTACACAGAAACAAGTTCTTCATTAGGTACAATTTCAAAACTTATTTGTCAATATGTGTAAAATTGATAGTATGTTAAAAAAAAGTAGAAAGGCTGGAGAGATGGCTTAGCAGTTAAGAGCACTAGCTGCTCTTGTGGAAGACCAGGGTTCAAATTCCAGCACCCACATGGCAGCTAAGAACCATCCATAACTCCAGATCTGACACCCTTTTCTGTCCTCCTTGGGCAGTGCATGACATAGGTGCACTTACATACACACAGGCAATACACTCATACACATAAAATAAAGTAATAAACAAAATATTAAAAAACAAAATAAATAGAACGTGCAACTAAAATTGTTCAAAATTGTTAAATTTGAAACTAAAATTGTTCAAAATTATTAAAATTGAAACTAAAATTTAAATTTGGTCTGTCAATATTCATCAGGGAATAAAATTGTCTTTAGCAAATGTTTTATTCATCTTCATGAACTTAAATATGAACACTTTTTTTGGCTACGTTAGGGGTTGAATCTAGATACTTATACCTTCCAAGGGTTTCAGGCCAAAAGCTTCAGCTCTGGCAGCCCCAATAAACTATGCTCAGCCAACCAGCCCCAAACACAAATTAAGAGACAAGTAATGTTAAAAATGTATTCATTGTGGCCACACTGGGAAGAGAAATAAACAAAGGGTTCTGTGAACTCCAAGTCCATCTTTAGGGTACTGATGTGAAATCTCCATTTAACCAGAGGGCAGGAGGCATGGATAAAGAAATGGTCTGGTAAAGGTGTGGCCTGCCCGGCACCAACTCACCAATGTCTCAGCTCAGTCTGTCCTGCAAGGTAGTCCTATAAATTGTTAAATTGCCAATCTTGGGGAGTACGGCCTCACCCTCATGGACAACTATGCTCATCTGGGAGATGCTTTGTCCTGCTGGATTTTGCTCTTCTGGAATCCAAGGTGGCTGCAGGTTTAGAACAATGATTTATCTCTGTGCCTTCAGCCAAAGTAAAGGAGACAGGTAGAAAATGGAGGCAGAGATGTCAACTTCCATCATACCTATACCTGTCAGCCACTGTAAGGAGTCAGCACTTAGAAAAACAGGTTCGAAATGCCTGCTTCATTACCACTGAGTGACATCCCTAGCCCATTAAAAGGAAAGTTTCAACCCAACCAGGAATGACTGGCTTTACAGAATGTCAACTCTTCTAATACTGGACTTTTCCTCCACCACGTACCTTGTCTTTCATGACAGCCATGTTTTCATACGGTTCTCCACTGACGCTGTTTCTGTTCACAGTCTCTACTTTTTGCTCCAGCCAGGAAACTTGCTCAAGCAGTTTTCTTTTTGTGCCTTCAGAGACTGTAAGCTAAAGATACGTTTTTGTAAACATGCCATTCAATGATACTGTTAAAGCTTCTTTTAGGTCAACTTATAAATGAATTGTCTTCTACTAATATCTATTAAATATGAAAACAGCTTCTAGAATATTCTCCACATGTGACAGATGATTAGAAAAGGAAGGAAATAATGCTTATTTCATTATTTCTAACAAGTAAGGTCTTTGTGGGCAAGAGGTAAGAACACACACTCACAATGCAGAGACATGTCTGTAAGAATGTAATGGTAGGCTGGGCATGGTGGCACATGACTCTAATCCCAGCACTCGGGAGGCAGAGGCAGGCAGATCTCTGTGAGTTTGAGGCCAGCCTGGTCTACATAGTGAGTTCCAGGCCAGCTGGGGCTACAGGGAGACCCTGTCTCAAAAAGACCAAAAACAAAAAAACAAACAAAAAACAGAATGTAGTGGTAGACTCCAGCATCTGCTCAGGCAACAATATCTGCAGTAGCCTCCTCTCAAAGATACCCACAGGCACCCTACTGAGTCCCTAACTAACACACATCCATGCCAGAATCTCACCTGGGAAGTGAGCTTAAATCAAAGAGGAGATACAAGGCATGGTGGCCCATGCATGCCTTTAATCCCAGCACTTGGGAGGGAGTGGCAGGCATAGCTTTGTGAGACTGAGGCCAGCCTGGAAAACATAGTGAGTTCCAGGCCAGATGAGGCTACAGGGAGACCCTGTCTCAAAACAAAAACAACAACAAAAAAATCAAAGTGGTGACCATACAACCTGCTCCCCACCCCCTTCCTGCCTCCTGACTTGGAAGCAGAGAAACTGGCTGGCTGTAGGATCTTGTTGTGAACCCCTCACCCTCCCCACCTCTCACCCTGCTCATCCTAAGAGGCTCATTCCCCTGCCATGTGGACTCTGATTCCTCTCCTCAAAGACCCTGCCATGCTGTTGCTTGTCTGTCTGTCCATGGCATTAACAACTTTCCTAATAAGCTTACTCCCCAGTTATCTACCTCAGTGTCTCTCTTGAACCCCTCCTCTTTGAAACCTTTTATTTTCCAGTGCAAGGATCTCAATATTCACCTCCACTTGTTTTGAGGTTCCACTGCATTTGTACAACTGAATCTGTAACCTGTGTTGTGGTTTACATGGATTCTAGAAACCTAACTCTTAAAAGGAGGGGTACAGCTCCCTAGGAAACATGGGAGTCATCACTGCCTTGGATACTTACCACAGAAGCAACAGAATGGTTAGAGACAGAGGGAAACCCTGGAATCTCAAGTTAAAGCCTGATTAATGCAAATTAGGAATTAGATCTGGGCAAATCACAACCAAAAAATTCCTACTGTTGTTTGTTCTGCTCTTTCAATTCCTCTTGAGGGAAATGGAAGTGTGGTAGCCCCTGGACTCCTGGAGAGCCCCTGCCCAGATTTTCCTTCTCCTCACACAGTTTAGTGTGTTTTTTCTCTATAGCCAGCAATACTTCTAAAAAAATCATTAGAAAGGCATACAGAAATTCACATTATTGCAAATCCTGTGCCCTCTGAGGCAGAGATTATCTCTAAGTATCTCTTTTGCATCAACTTGGATGTTACTGAAAAGCATACTTTTTCATCTTGAAAGATAGTTTTTAAAAATATCTTATTTATTAATTTTATTTTCTGTTTATGAGTGTATTGCCTATATATATATATGTATATATATATGCGCACTCATGTTGTGCTATGCCTGCACAGGTCAGAAGAGGGCTTCAGATCCCCTGGAACTGGAGTTACAGATGGTTGTTAGCCACTATGTGGGTGCTGGGAATCAAACCCAGGTCCTCTGCAAGAGCAGTCAGTGTTCTTAACCATCTCTCCAGTCTGACAGTTTTTGTTTTTTTTTTTTAATACCTTACCACATGAAGAGGTCAGTCTGAAGGGAAATGGGTGAGCTAGTATACCATATACAATGGCTTCCACCAATCTATCTACATAATCAACCATTTAACACAAATTTATTCAGTTGGTACCCACAACAGCCATTGTGTTATGGGCTGGGAATCCCTCAAAGCCCATCCCAGAGCCAGAGGGAGTGCTCATGCCAAGAAGTATTGGTGATATCTTTCAATTCTCAGAGTCCTAGGGGGTCTACTGTGCTTCCCTGTCACTAATGCAGTTGCCTCTTGGGCATGTGGTGGCTTGAGAACGTAGTCTGGCTGTTATGAGCACACTTCTGTTGTATTAATGTGGAACCGCTAACCACACAGGCTCCATCAGACCACAAGCATAAGCTTGGTTTCGATATTATGTGGTTTGAGCAGGTTGCTCAGTTTCTCTGGGTTTGATTTTTTTAAAAATATGTAAACAGCAGTGGGAAAAAAAGAGTGCTACTTAAACTACAGGTTGGTTTTGGAAATTATGAGTTTAACAAAAAGAAACTTAGAAGGATGTCTGGAACATATTAAGTACCAAGTAATTGTTAGCATTATTCTTCTCCCTCCTCTGGCCATAGTAAGCATTCATGGGGGTTTTTATCTACATAGCTTTCATTTATCAAATTGTTAAAAGACAAAAACCAAAAAACCCTGAAGAGATCATGGCCTCTCTAAACCAAGTACCCTGAACTCAAACTGTATTTGGTTTGTTTACTCCTTATAATCTTTAGAGGAAACCTCTTCTTAAGTCTAGAATTATTTTCTCTCAAACAACTAATCTCTCAATCAGGTGCATATTCTGTGTAACCTGTAAAAGATCTAGTCACAATTTGCTTTTTACCTTCTTAGTGTTGGAGAAGGGGATCTTTATTTTATTCACTGAATATTTATTTATTTATTAAAGAAATAAGTTGGGCATTTGTTATAAGAATTTGAAGATTAAAAAATGAAAATATTGGGGCTAGAGAGATGGCTCAGCGGTTAAGAACACTGGGTGTTCTTGCAGAAGACCCAGGTTCGAATCCCAGCACTCACATGACAGCTAACAACTGTCCGTAACGCCAGTTCCAGGGGATCTGACAGCCTCTTCTGTCTTCCGCAGGCATTGCACAACACAGGTGCACTACATGCAGGCAATACACACATACACATAAAATAAAAATAATAAAATATTTTTTAAAATGAAAATATTTTCTTGAGACAGGGTTTCCCTGTAGCCCCAGCTGGCCTGGAACTCATAGAGATCTGCCTGCCTCTGCCTCCCAAGTGATGGGATCAAAGGCATGTGCCACCCGGCCTGGCCCATTATCATCATCTTAAAGATGAAAGGACTAGATGCTCTTAGTGATGAGCTAACTTGCATCAGATCCTGAAGCTAATCAGAAGGATTAGATTCAGACCTGCATTGGTTTGCCTCCAATCATGGGCTCTAGATCATGTTCAGCCTTACCTCTAAGGCTGACTGCCAAGATGATCTGTGATGTTTTTCTCTTACTTATGTGGACTTTAGAAGTCTTTTCAAGCATGCTGGCTACCTGAGTTACTCATTTTCTCTTCTTCTAAACCCTTGCCATCTTACCATCTTCTTCAAGGTCGATGCTACCTTTATCTCTTCCTTCTTCACAAAGTTTCTGACCCTTTCTTTGACTCATGTATGTTTAAAGCAGGTTCAGAATAATTTAAGAAGTCTTGACTTGGAACCAGGGGATCTATGTTTTAGGCCTGAGCCCACAACTCACCCTATAATCTTGGTGCAAAAAATTAGATTTTGCTATGCTACTTTGCTGTATTTTGACAGAGCCACTCTCCAGAAATTCAGACTAAATTACTAATCCCCAAGGAAAATGAGCAGAAAATTCAGAGAATTATGTCAGAACCTACCACAATGCTAGGTGCAGTGTTGCACCCCCGTACTATAATCCCAGCCCTTGAGAAGGGGAGTCAGGAGTATCAGAAGGTCAAGGCCATTCTTGGGTATACAATATTTTATGTAAATCTGGACAACACGAAATCCTGTCTCAACACACAGACACACACAGACACAGACACAGCACACACTACACACATAAAACACACCCATACAAGTGCATACAATCAAACTGGCATGGAGCAGCCTCAGCTATGAATTTTCCAAGTTAGCCTCTTGAGCTAGGAGTCTTGGTTGTTATTGTGTATCACTGTCTCATGAAAGTACATGAAGGGATTTTACTGTTTTCTCCTCAAGTGGACGTTTCATGGCAAAAACTGGTAATTTACTTTTGGATTCTACCATGTGATTGTGAAACTATTTTTCAGTAGGACGATGGCAGTCCCCTCCACCTTTTGCAAATGGCCATGAAAAAACCTGATAATCATAAAGGAATCCCCGTACTATAATCCCAGCACTTGAGAAGGGGACTCAGGAGTAGCAGAAGGTCAAGGCCATTCTTGGGTATACAATATTTTATGCAAATCTGGACAACACAAAATCCTATCTCAACACACAGACACACACAGACACAGCACACACTACACACATAAAACACACCCATACAAGTGCATACAATCAAACTGGCATGGAGCAGCCTCAGCTATGAATTTTCCAAGTTAGCCTCTTGAGCTAGGAGTCTTGGTTGTTATTGTGTATCACTGTCTCATGAAAGTACATGAAGGGATTTTACTGTTTTCTCCTCAAGTGGATGTTTCATGGCAAAAACTGGTAATTTACTTTTGGATTCTACCATGCAATTGTGAAACTATTTTTCAGTAGGACGATGGCAGACCCCTCCACCTTTTGCAAATGGCCATGAAAAAACCTGATAATCATAAAGGAAACAAAAGGGAGAGATGAGATAAAAAATAAAACAGCATAAAATATATTCATTTGAGGGTTTTTTTTTCCCCACGTGAAGGATTATGCTTCACTGCTAAATTATAAGAAGTTACTTCCCATCCTGAATCCACTCCATTGTCTCAATGGGGATCTTTCAAAGTCTTACAAAGTCTACTCATCAATTCAAGAAGTCCGTAAGAATACTGCCTAAATTCAAATTCAGTTACAGGATAGGAGACAGGCATCAAAGTAAGAGGAAATCTGAGTCAGTAGGTGGAGATGTCA